GATATTGGATTGTCTCAGTTTGTTGAACATTCATATCAAAATCAGGAATGTTGGGGCCTGCTCAAGACTTTACAGTGCTTAAGATGAAAAAAGGTTCTTCCACAGCAGTAAAAGTTTACTAATTGGCCATCTGCTGCCTTCAAAATTTGTACTTCTCTCTCCGCTTAATGATAGGGTTGGCCTGGAAGCACTTAAACAAAAAATCTGGAGTTAAACTGGTAGGATGACACTTTCTACTCAGCTGTTTTTCTCTGAGGCCCCCCGAACATGCAATGCCTATTCATAGTGATCTATTAACATAAGAGAGGAGAAAATAATCTGTGGATTTATTATTTCTATTTTTGAGGCACTATTGACTTAATGTCCTTTGAGTTTTACAATCATTTCTGGAAAGCAGTATCAAAAATGTATCAAAATATTAAAAATCAGTAAAAATAATACATGCTCAAGATATGAATTTTATTCCCTTAGCCTATGTCTAGTTCAAGACTTATGCAAAGTGACAGTAAGCCACATTATTCTGCCCTGCCTCAGTTTACCTCTTTTTGGGTTTCAACAATATTATTCTGGAGTATCAGATGAAAACTCAGTGAAGAGCCTGCTCTTAGTTCATGCAGCTCAGCTTTCAACATAGTAAAGCCCATTTTCTCACTGCCATGAATATTTCATTATTATTCTTTCTGTCACTTGATGTCAGGGCTTACCTTCCTGGCAATTATTCAGTATATTAAAGAGCTATGCTTCAGACTGTCCTGCAGTTTATGGTAGCACTATCATGCTCTGATGACCTCCAACTTTCCACTTGGTCACACAGTGATCCTGTAATCCCTAGCCTATAAGTGAAGAAGGCTTAAAATAGCATTAAGAATATCAACATAAAAGTAGCCTTTCTCCCCTTAAGGTGACGCTTTCACATCACAGCTTCAAGATATATAAAATCTGTGATGCTTTCTGGGAGGCAAGGTCAGGCGACCTACAGTGGGTGTGATCAGAGGTGTGTTTTGGGAGATTATGAGCATGTAACAACCCCTCCCCTCTGGCCACAGCCAGTTTCTACTGTAGGAAGGACACAGCACCACTGTTTTATTTGGGAAGAAAATGGCAAAAAAAAATTGCAGTTCCATATTAACAGTACTCTGAAGATGCAGCAACCCTACTTCACCTCCTTGCACTTTCCAGAAAATAATGGGGAATGTTGAACTGGAATTTTGACACATGTGTGCCAGTTTCCTTCTAAGTCAGTTGCAAACATTCTCCCCTTCAAAGAAAGAGAGGGCTGTCAAACAGCTTGAGTTGAGGTGTTTTCTGGGTATATTTCTGCCTACATGTCTTCCCATATGCTAATTTACTTCACTTTGTTTTAACATGGAGGATCTCTAGGTAGGATGTGGGAGAAGGGGCAGCCAAATATGCTTAGAGAAGCCCAGGCAGAGCCCTGAAGTCAGCCCTGCTGTCCATACTACAGCACCCCAGTGCTGAACATCTTCTCCCCTGGCTGATGAGGTGCTGAAAGGAGAAGGCTTCAAATCCAGAAGAGACAACCCTTCTCTGTAATGAATGACATGCTCACAGCTCAGGACAACACCATGTGGCAGGATAGGGATTAGCAAGAGGGACAAGGGGTTTTGTGTCAGCCTTGTTTTGTGCCAGTGCAAAGAGAAGGGGGTGGGATTTTAACTCAGTAATAAGGAAAGGCCTATGTAGCTCTAAAAAGGGGGATATATTTCAACACTACAATAAATCTGGATACTAAACCTCCTACTAACTTCACTGAATGATACCTTTCCCAAATTCCAGTCACGTGTAACACTATTAAACTAGGAGCATAGCACCCTGTCACCTAGATTTGCTCTTGGCTGTCAGTTTATCTGTTCCAAACAAGAAAGCTGAATATAGAGTGTATATGCCCTTCACATAGCATATAATTAAAGCTATGGAGTTCAGTACCACAAATGAAGTGATTATCACCAACCTGAAAGCTTTAAAAGAAGAAAGACTAATGCATGAAGTAAAACTATCTGTGGTTATTAATTTGTTAGATTTATATCCTGCCTTTCTGCTAGGAGCTCAAGGCAGTATACATTGCATTATTCCTCCTATTCGCTTCCATAACCAGAACCCTGTGAGGTACAGTAGATGGGCTGAGAGACAAGGTCACCTACTGAACTTCCGTGGCTGAACTTGAGCGGGATCTCCTCAATCTTTGCCCCAGAACTAGTACAACTAGTGGTCAATATATAGGAAAGAAATTGCTACTAGGCTCATATCCTGCTTAGAAACCTGGATTAAATGTACCTTTACTTGGATTCACTGCAGCTATTACTGTGACTGAAATATAGGGGAAGAATGGGCAAAAAAAACCCTTCAGGAATGTGTGGTATCCCTATGATTATTCCCAGAATTCAAGAAACCAAAAAGGATTGTGACAATCTAGATACATTCTGTCTTGGTTTTGCTACAAAGGACGAGGCAGATAAACCCTGTCTATACAATCAGGGCAGGGTAAGTTGGGATTCAACAGATTCAAGGACAGCCAACTGTCCAGCTGTGAACAACTCCTCATTAAAGACAGACATCCTGAACAGGCTCTCTTTCCTCCCTCATACATCAAAACTATTTTAGCAGAGAAATGGCCTCTTTTCCATTCTCTCTCATGAATATGTGATGCACAGAAAATACAGAGCAAGGAATATGCAAATAGAAATAACAACAACACCCAACTCCTATCTAATCTGAAATTGAACTAATTGAATCATTCAGTTCAAATTATGATTTCCTCCCCTTCTGTAATCCTTACAATACAAAACAAGGGGGAAACTGGCATTTGTATAAACACATTAAAAACTATTTTTTAGGAATGCTTGTCACCTTACAAGCAATTACAACTCAAATACTGAATATTCACATTAGGAGATAGGATAGATAGATAGATAGATAGATAGATAGATAGATAGATAGATAGATAGATAGATAGATAGATAGATAGATAAAGTTTGACACAAATTTTGGTGATATCCTCTTGACCAAATTGTACTTCTTTAATTTATATTCCCAAGTCTCCATGCCTATACTATATGCACTTACCTAGAAACAATCTTCATGGCAATATTGGCACTTAATTTTTAGTAATATCCTTAAGATTGCATTATTACTTATCCTCAGAAAATGCAACATCAGTTTCAGTAGAACTTACTTTCAGGTGGATAATATATAAGTTGCAATGCTTCAGACAGTTACTAGGAAATTCCCAGCATGTCCTTCCAACCAGAATTATTTGGATATCCTACATTTTTATTTACAGTTTGGAAGCAAATGCTATTGGAATGTATGACATTTTTGAATACAGATTAATACTATGCAGATTGCAGTAAAAGTAACTTCTAAGTTCACACAAATTTGATACTGACAATTGGTGAAGAAGTAAATGACTACAATTTTTAAAAACAGCCGGCAGCTGGGGTGCTTTATTTCCTCCCTCTAGCACTTCCTCCCTCTAGCACTAGGATTTTAAGGGGATGTTCACCAAATTTCAAATATTCCCCACTCACACTACATATTTGCTTACAGATGTGATAACTGTGGAGTCCTTGGTGCTCTCTGAGCTTGATTGTTTGCTTGCAGAACTTACATTCCCCTACTAGGTAACATCACAGATGGGATCATTCCCATGTGCTCTGATCCTGATGCTGCTCTGGGATCTCCTTGAAAGCTCCTACCGTTTCATTCTCAGATCTATCATTCACTATCCCTCACACGCTGTGCACCTCCCTCGCAGGTTGTATATCTTTGCCCTTAGCAAAGACCAGGAGCCCCCAAGTTGATGGAGTTTGATTTCCCTGATTCGAACCACCCGCACCCCAAGCATCATCTGCAGGTAAAGTGAGGGCGACACACTCGAGGTTCCCCCAGGAGCAAAGCCCCTCCCGTGAATCCTACGGCACAGAACTAGCTTGAGCCCCACCATCTCCTCCGCTCGGCCTCCGGAAAAGATGGAATTTGAGGCCTTGGACGGCGCTTGCCAGAGAGCGGTTTCTGCTCCGCCGCGCCTTCCACTCCAACTCCTTTGGAAAAGAGGATCGATCGAAGTAAGCTCTGCCTACTTTGCCCACCCAGCCACTCAGCATCCCGGGCAGCAGGTGGTAAGAAAAGACTGCTCGCCTTACTTTCTTTGGAGGGGGGTCATCTGTTTATAGACGTGTCTCCCTCACTTGTCTTCCCCCTGTTAAATCAGACCCACCCCTTTCCTTGCTAATTTTCATTTTATTGTGCCCTCTAACCCAGCCTACCTCTTGGGGAAATTTTGCCCAGCTGCTTGTATTTGGAGAACTCAAAGGCCAGCTTTCCCTTCGGTAGTTTCTCGAGGCGGCAAAAATCTGTCAAGAATCCGAGGCAGCGAAAAGGCGAACACCTTAAAATCGGGCCCCTTTATGGGAGGCAGGGTTCTGCCCCGAGGCTGGGAATCTTTTCGGGCACGTGCCAAGGCATCTAGTGATGCAGCAACACTAACAGGGCACAGAGGGCCACGCAGGACTTCCTGAGGCTTAGCCCTTGGCAGGACTTGCTTTGAAGGGTCACATTCAATGTTCAGAATCAGATCGGAGACTTACAGCTCAGCTCAGTACTAAATGGACCAGTTACGCAGAACTCACTGGGCCATCCTGAAATCCAGAATGCGAACAGGGAATATAATTCTAAACATAGAATATAATTCTAAAGAAGCCAAAGGAATGGCAAGTAGGTGCCCTCCTCCTAAATAAAAGCAGAGACCTTGCTGAGGGGTGGTGGTGTCAGCTCCTCAGTGCAATCCCGCCCTTGACCTTACACCCGAGCCTGTAAGCCGGCTGATTTTCCGAGGTGATCTGTCAATAGAGCACGTGATCGGGTGAAACCTGTGACCGCCCGTACCCCGCGCAGAAGCCCAGCTCAGCCAGCAAAGGCGGACTGTGCGCGAGGACTGGGAACCGCCGGGCAGCGAAAGGCGCCCGGGCCGCGTAACTCACCGACGCACTCGTTGGCCTCGCGGGCGGTGGCCCTCTGCCAAGGCCGGTCGTAGTGGAAAGGCTTGCAGCGGTCGCACTCGGGCCCGGCGGTGTTGTGCTTGCAGTCGCAGACCAGGTGGTCGTCGCGGTCGCGGACGCAGCGGGAGGCGTGCCCGTTGCACTTGCAGCGGCCGCCCACCTGGAGGTCAGAGACAGCGTAGTAGTAGGAGTCGCGCGCCAGCTCGGAGTCGTCCTCGTTCTCGTCGCCGAAGGTGTGGAGGCGGCTGAAGACCACCTTGATGTCGGTGGCCGTGACCCAGTCCTGCAGGACAGGCGAGTTATCGAAGTCGTGCGCCGAGGGCCGGCCGTCGAGGGTGCTGAAAGCGATGAGCCCCCCGCTCAGGGGCCGCATGTCGGTGTGTGAGTCGGTGCAGATGGCTTCCTGCTCGTTTTGTTTGGTGATGGTGGCGCGGCTGGGCTTGTTGTACATCTTGCGGCACTGCGTGGAGTAAAACTGGAAGGGCACCCACGTCTTGCCGCCGTCCATCGACTTGGCGATGGCCATGGACTCCGGGCGCGGCGAGCAGAACTGCAGGCTGACGTAGGTCACCTCGAACTTCTTGCCCAGCGCCAGCACCAGCGTCACGTTGAGCGGGTGCTGCACGAAGCTCTCCGACTGCCAGCAGGTCAGGTTGTGCGGGTTGTTGAGGTCGGTCAGGTAGGAGGCCGGGTGGGCGCGCTTCGGGTCGGCGGCGTCGCACAGGTGGCACGTGCGGCTGCGCTCCTCGCCCTTCTCGGCCAGCACGCAGTAGCGGGACTGGGGGCGGCCGCAGGTGCTCGACACCTTGACCTCCTTGCCGAAGGCGGCGTTGACGAAGTCCGGGATGCAGCGCCGCGGCTGCCCGTTTTCGTCGTAGCAGGGGTCCGGCTGTGGTGCCGTATGCAGGGCGAACATATCCAAGCCGTAGCCGCCGCGCACCCCCTCGGC